GCAAGAAAAACCCTTGGTGTCCGTGTTCAGGAGAAAACCTATCCGACCCGTACGGCCAGAAAAGAGCAGGAAAGAAAACCAAATAGAGAAATTAACAAAAAACCACAAGCAGCCAAGAAGCCATGCAAGATATGGGCTAAGGGCTGGAAAGTTTCAGTAGAGGAATGCAAACTGAAGTTTGTGCGGGACTTTATTAGACCCCTGCCACTGAGCGCAAACTAGATGGGACGTGCGTGCAGTTAATGAATGAGTCCTTCTGGTCCTCTTCCCCCGCCGATTACAACGGGAAGGGCAGAGGCAAACTAGTTAAGACCCTCTACAGACAGAGAAAGTTAAATGAGGGGGATGAGACATGCAGAAGAGGGCAAAGGGGGACGGGAAGAGAAGCGAGCTAGCTAAGAGTGCCTCACCTGGCATTGGTGCAATCGGTGAACAAAGTTTCGAAGTCTTTCCTGGTGATAAGTTTGCAGCGGTTCACCCCGGGCTGGATGGCCCCCAGCCCGCGGAGGATCCGGACCTGCTCGACAGTACACACCACGGGGGATATGTCCAGTCTCTTCAACTTGGTGTAGACGGTATGCAACCCTCCCACCAGGTGCTTGAGGAAGAGATCAAAGACTTGCGGCAGGCAGATCAGCTCCTGGCCGTCCATCAGGAACGAAGCCACCTTCACCCCGTGCATGTCGACCATCCGGCATTCATTGGTGCTGGTGTTGCCGCTGACGCTGCTACCACTACCCGCTCCGCCACTCCCGGCGCTGCCGCTGTGGTTATTGGCCATGAAACTGTTGATCATATTGGGAGTGAGCCGAGGGGGCTCTCCCGGAGTCGAGTAGAGGGGTTCGGCCCGAAATAAGCCCCCCGGGACGCCGGCGCCGCTGGAAGTTGCAGAGATCACTGGAGGTGCTGAGACAGCCATGGTCACTCAGTCTCAATCGTACGTCCTCGGGCCCTCGCTTTCTCGCCCTCTCTCCTCTAGGTCCCCTCGCACTCACTCCTTCACTCTCCCGCCCTCTCTCTGACTCGCTCTCTCTTGCTCGGAACAGTTCGCTAGACTCCAGAAGCCCGACTCACGCTCGCGCTCACCCACCACCCAGCAAACAGTGAGCTGCCGGGACCCGCGGCGGCCCCAGACCCCACCCCCACCACACCCCCTCCCGAGACTGGCAGCGCCCCCCAGCCAATGGCCCCACCCCTTCGGCGCCCGAGCGCGCCGAATGGCTGTCGCTGGCGAAGGGGTGGAGACTCCCTGCCCCGGCCTCCGATTACCTGAGGCCGGCCGGGGCGAGCTGGTGAATTGGGCTGAAGCCTGAGAAGGGGGCGGTGTGGCGTCTCGGCCCTTCTAGCTCAGATTCTGACGGGAGAAAGTCCAGTTATCGGGCAGAGCTGTCAAAGTGGCCGAGGCTACGAACTCCTCCCCTCCACCACGCCCCCCAAGGGTAGGGATAGGAACACAAAGCGGAACTCCTGAACGCGCCTCCCCGCTCCCGGCGCCACGGTTCAATCGAGGAAAGGAAGGTGGTAGCTCCAATTCCACTCGCCCATTGCGCTCCAACTCTGCAGGGGCTAATGAGCGGCTTCGTCCAGCTTCCATGAGAAAGACTCCAGTGAGTTCAGAAGTAAGCAGCTCACCTCTTCTCCAGCTCACCTAGTGTAGTGCGCTTGGTTCAGGTTCTCCTCCACCCGAGCACAGAGAAACGAGCGTCCGAGTTCCCACTTCAATCGGAGTTGCTGGTTGTTAATCCTCCACGCACTGACATTCAGAGACGCGATGAGCTTGGGATCCTTTGTGAACACTTTGAAAAACAGGCAGAGAGATTTGGTTTGTGGGTGGCGGACGGACGCTTCATTTTACAGCACTTCCGCCCCTGTCCTGGAACAGACTCGGCTTTCTGTGTCGCTGTCCCTTAGTCTCGGAATAGCCCCACCCCGTCCACCGCTAAAATTGTTTGGAAAGGTTCCTTTATATGACTAAAACAGTCATTACAGAAAACGAGGGAAGGACGAGGGTTTGCTCTCTTTAATGTTGTATCTTCCTCCCTCACCTATAGGCTAAAAAGTAGCTTTGATGGCGCGGTGATTAGTTTCACGTCCTAAACTGCAGCTCCAGATTCTTCTTCATCCACTTGTCAAGCGCCCCTAAACACACTACAAGACGTCACTATGAGCAAAATGTTTGAGCTGGATACATTCCAGGGAAGAGGCAAGGTCTCCTCCACACAGCATGTGGTGGTTAGAGCACCGTGGCAAAGTTGTTTTAAGACTCTTTGTCAAGCTTTTGATTCTCTGAAATACAAGGTATTTCCTTTCCTGTCTACGCTCTTGTCCTCTGGAGGCTGTTACTCAAAAAGTGAAATCCAGGCTGCATTTCTTTACAAAATTTTACCAATGACATAGCCAAGGCAAAGTCCCTAATATTTTCCTGGATCGTGAATAATTTTTAGAAACCTACTAAATTTTACTCAGCCTTTCTCCTACTAAGTGGTATCAAAGAGGAGTGGGTAAGCTTTGTTTTTCTCCCCCGTAATAAGGCTTAAATATTCTAAGTCGGATTTTTTTTCTCTCGCTCTCACAATATATTTTCCTTTTTGTCATTTCATCAAACAAGTATTAAAAACTACCCTTTGAATTTCTTCACACTGTTTCAATTTCGAATTGTATCAAGTCAAAATGCTAAAAACTAATGGAGATATTTGCTTCTGGAATAGTGATAAATGACTCTAACATAATAGACTGGAATGTACGCGGTCACAAAGTGTTTTTAAAGGACTATTTTAAATATTTTTTGCTAGTTTTGGTACTGTTATGGAAAGAAAATAAGCAAAAAAAAAAGAGGACAGTTGAGAAGATATGGCAGAGACAGGAAAAGCTTCAACAAAAAAGTAGAGGTTTTCAAAAAAGAATAGAACAGCACTACAGAAATGTTTGTATTTATTAAAAACTTTTAAGATAAACACCAAGTTGTGTTCAACAGGTGTTTTGACAGAAATGTGATGAAATAACTTGCCTTTGATTACTTACTGTCATTGAAAATTCCAAGTGAATAAATTTGACTTTCGAGGAAAGTTTTATTTTGAAATACCTCTAATTGCATTAGTGATCCTAAGGCCAAGCTGCTGCACCCATCTTATCAAGGCCCTTTTATTTCCAGAGTAATTTGTGATTTTCAGCAGTAGGACATTACACAGATGCTTTGATTTTTCAAATTTAAGAAACTTTGGAATATAAAGAGGAAAGGCAGAACATTAATACTGAAATGATTATTTGTGATTTTGAAAAACAAATGCACTTTGACAAATTTAGAAGAGACAGGAACTAGGTATGTCTTATATGTTTAATGTGATCTAGCAGATTTATAGTAATATTTTAATTACTCCAGGAGATTAAGATTCAAATTCTACTGGAAATACTAAGATTCAAATTAGCCATTGACCATTAAAGGGTTAAAGCCCTTTGGAAGCTTTCAATACACAAAAGACCCTAGGCTTCATTATTTGAATTCCTTCCCATTGCAGCCTTCTGGAAACTACACTTGGTAATTTTCTTAAGTGATACTTGTAATTTAAGGATTTAGTCATTTAGATCTAAGAAGCCAAGTGTTGTCTCCTTGGATTTTCTTGATATTTTTGATTATTATTATTGCTGCTATTTCTACTATTATTATTACATGCTTTGAGATTACTGAGACAATCAAATTCTACATGGAGAGTGTGTTCTTATCATCTTCTGACTTTAATGTAGTCCATAAGCCAAACATATTTCTAAATAAGGCTGGATTTCTACAAGGCCAGAGGAAGCCTTGTGCATCAACACCGTGTATGTTGGAATTGCATGAATCAATATAAAATCATAAAGGCTGCAGGAAACACAGTACCCTTGGGAGATGACTCTCTATGGAGAGAGGCACTGCACTAAAACTAAGAAAATACTCAAGGTTTGTCAATTAATACCAAACAAGAGCCAACTACTCCAGGGGGAAAAAAACAAACAAACCCAAACCCGTTGCTGTCAAGTCAATTCTGACTCATAGTGACCCTATAGGACAGAGTAGAACTGCCCCATAGAGTTTCCAAGGAGCACCTGGTAGATTCGAACTGCCGACCTTTTGGTTAGCAGCCGTAGCTCTTAACCACCACACCACCAGTACAAGCAGATACCATATCTCATCAGAACAAAAAGTCCTAGATGCTACTATTCCAGTGGAATGACTTGGGGCCTACGTGTACCTTCTCATATACTGAAATTGTGTAAACTTTCTGGATTTAATTAGCAATTTATCGTTTTCTTCTAATTCTTACTCAGTTTGGAGGGGAAGGTGCTCTAAACTTTATGCAAAATATTCCACTTTGCCTGAAATTAACAGTGGAAATACAGGTACCAATCTAATTTTAAAAAATATTGGCAATCATATTTAGAACTGTAAAATATCAAGAACCATTTGAAGGATCTGGTTTTCAGAAGAGGCATTCAAGTAAATCCCAAGGTAATAAATGGAATTATTTGAAACCCTCAGCCAACTGAGGTTGCAACCTCTAATATGACCTCTAATCAGAAACTCTCAGGAGCCTTCTAATGTTCATTTTAGGCAAACAATTAAAGAAAATTGATTGGGTAAGGCGATAAATGTGAAATTAAAGCATTCATATAACTGGGATTTTAACTGGCTAAAGACTATAGGTATATCCTACTCAATGGAATATATTTTTTTCCTAAGAAACTGGCTTTAAAATGACCTTTCGTAACATAAATTATTTTTCTCTCATTCAGTTACAATGTTAAATTGAAAATGAATTCCAAGAGAGGCACAAGTGGATAAGAGGAACCACTGAAAGAGTGACGAATTGGCCAAAACCCAAGGAGCAACAGTTAAAATCAGATGCTCAAAAGAAAAAGGAACATTTTCTAATTGAAATATAAAATATAAACGTTCAAAGTATCCCATGAAGTATAAGCACTATACCAACATTTACCATATTATGCCCCAAACTGCACCGTCCTAGGGGAGAAGATGTGTCTGCTTTAAATTCCATCTATGTCTTTCAATTTATTGTTCCCTTTTGAATCTTAGACTTTTAACTGTTAAAATTCAAGCCATTCCAGTTTCAGCTGAACTCCCACTGCTACTTAGTATCCTTTTATTCGCGTTGACTCCCTATTGAATTCCCTGCCGCAACTCCTCTAGTCCTTTTCTACTCTTTGCAATTCACCCTCCCCTTCACTCTCATCACCTACCACCTCCTATTTCTCTGATTTTACCATAATGTTACACAACAGGAGCTTCCCCAGCCTCCCTTGTCTCCGAAAAACTTTTTTTCCGCATATTCTATCTCCTCCTACTTCCCTCATCCCTCTGAAAATAGTCTCTACATTCCCTTCATTGATGCTCTTGATTCCTTTCCTCTCCTGCAGGTACCTAATTTATCCCTTTTATTCCCATCACTCTCTTTTGTACCTTGAATCTCTCCCTCTCTACTTGCTCTTTCCCCTCATATAGAAAATTATCAAGTCTACCAATCTTAAGACAAATAAAAACTTTCCTCAACCTTAACCTGTGATTCCCAGAGTGTGGCCCCTGGACCACCAGCATCAGCATTACCTGGGAACTTGATAAAAATAAAAATTGTTTGGCTTTACCCAAGACCTACTGAATCAGAAACTCTGAGGAGGGGCCCAGCAATCTGCATTTTAACAAGCCCTCCAGGTGATTCTAATGCAGGCAGATGTTTGAGACCCACTTGTCCTGGAGTTGCCATCCTTTCACAAATGTTTTGAAAATCTACACTTGTTTCTCTTCTTCCTTACCATCCTTTTGTGCCTTAACCTCTTGCAATTTGATTTCTGCCCTTACCACTTGACTGAAACTACTCTAAGAAAGGTGTTCATTGATCTCCTAAACGCCAAATCCAAAGTTGTTTTCTAAATCCTCATCCTCTGATATTCTGCAGCTTTTTTTTTACAATGTTGACATACTTCCTGAACACTTATCTCTTGGTTTTCATGACTCCTCTGCAATAATTTGTTTCTCTTTTTTCCTACACTCCTTTTCCTTTTCATGTCCTTGCTTGTGACCCTGAAATGTTAAGAT